TGCTGCGGCTGCTGCTGCTGCTGCTGCTGCTGCTGGCGCTGACCACCCCCGGAGCTGCTCCGCTGGGACGAGCCACTCCGACCCCCGCCTCCACTGCCACCCCCGCCTCCACCGCCACCCCCGTCTCCACCTCCACCTCCCCCACCAGGACCGTCGCTCCCACCGCTCCCACCGCCTCCTCCGCTACCACCTCCGCCGCCACCTCCGCCTCCACCGCCGCCACCAGTACCTCCACTCCCGCCACCACCCCCACCGCCACCCCCACTCCCCCCGCCACCCCCACCGCCTCCTCCACCGCCCCCTCTAGCTCCACCCGCTCCCTTGCCCCCCTTGCCCTTGCCAGCGCGGCGTCTGCCGCTGGGGGCAGACGCCGCGCCGACCGACTCAAAACCAGTGAGGTCGGCCGCAGCGGCAGAGGCGACAGAGGGCAGCAGGGGGGAAGGACCACACCCCTCAAAGATAGGGGTGCGAGGGTCACCCCGAGAGGCCCCTACAGCGACAATACTCTTCTCAGCCGCTAGCAGGGACTCCTCAAGGAGGTCGACAGTGAGAGTGGTGGGACAGACAGAGAGAAACTGGTCCCTAACGACACGAAGGGACTCAGGGAGACGGGTGACGAGAAAGTAGAGAGTGATGTACATGGGAGGAGGGTTCGCAGCGCGGAACTCAGCAGGAAGGGCAGCGCGGTAGCGGGTGTCACTAGCACGGAGGTGGGTAACGAGGTCAGCGACAGTGGGAAAGGAAGCGAGGTCAGGGAAGAGAAACGGTAGCATGAGGCGGCTAAGGGTAGCGGAGGAAGGGGAGGAGTAGCGTGCAACTACAGCGTCGTACAAGGCCTGAGCGGTCTTGCACTGACTAAAGTGGGCACGCTCAGAGGAAGGGAGGTGGCGACGCACAGCAAGACGTGCAGCAGCATCGCGGGTCGCCCACTTGGAGCGAACGGCAGAGTCAGCATCAGCAGGTGGGGCAGGGACAGCGCCAGAGACAAAGTCAAAGAGAGAGACCTCATCTATCGCATCACACAGTAAGTACAGTTGCAGGTCTTCAATCCAGACGGCAAAGTCAATGGCCCTCCCCTCAGCGTCAAAGGTAAGAACATTGGGGGTGGCCATGACAGCAGCTGAAAATCTCACCGGGCTGGGAGAGGCGGGTAGGTCAGCAGCAGAGGAACAGCAGCACGGCTCCGCAGGCGGCTCGGGCGGCGCGGGCGGCTCGGCGGCGGCTCGGGCGGCGGCTCGGCGGCGGTTCGGCGGCGGCTCGGCGGCGGCTCGGCGGCGGCTCAGGCGGCGGCGGCTCGGCGGCGGCTCGGCTGCTGCTGGGCGGCGCGGGCGGCTCGGGCGTCACGGGCGGCTCGGCGGCGGCTCTGGCGGCTCGGCGGCGGCTCGGGCGGCGGCTCGGCGGCGGCTCGGCGGCGGCTCGGCGACGGCTCGGCGGCGGCTCGGCGGCGGCTCAGGCGGCGGCGGCTGCTGCTGGGCGGATCGGCGGGGCCGCGTAGCAGAGTGGCGGCGGGGCCGCGACCGAAGAGAGCGGCGGGGCCGCGTAGCAGAGGGCGGCGGGGCCGCGTAGCAGAGGGCGGCGGGGCCGCGACCGAAGAGAGCGGCGGGGCCGCGTAGCAGGGGGCGGCGGGGCCGCGTAGCAGAGGGCGGCGAGGCCGCGTAGCAGAGGGCGGCGAGGCCGCGTAGCAGAGGGCGGCGGGGCCGCGTCCGAAGAGAGCGGCGGGGCCGCGTAGCAGGGGGCGGCGGGGCCGCGTAGCAGAGGGCGGCGAGGCCGCGTAGCAGAGGGCGGCGGGGCCGCGATCGAAGGGCGGCGGGGCCGCGTAGCAGAGGGCGGCGGGGCCGCGTAGTAGAGGGCGGCGGGGCCGCGTGGCAAAGGGCGGCGGGGCCGCTATCGAAGGGCGGCGGGGCCGCGTAGCAGAGGGCGGCGGGGCCGCGTAGCAGAGGGCGGCGGGGCCGCGTAGCAGAGGGCGGCGGGGCCGCGAGGCAGAGGGCGGCGGGGCCGCGTAGCCGAGGGCGGCGGGGCCGCGATCGAAGGGCGGCGGCGGGGCCGCGTAGCAGAGGGCGGCGGGGCCGCGATCGAAGGGCGGCGGGGCCGCTAGGGAAGGGCGGCGGAGCCGCGAGGGGAAGGGCGGCGCAACGGTCCGCTAGGGGCGACACGACGGGTCGCTAAAAAAAAACGCGCCTCGGGGCGCGGTTCGGTGGGCCCTAGAAGCAGTCCCTAGGAGGGAACCTGCTCTGATTCCATGTGGAAACAAAGAACGAGAATGGAATGACTATGAACGAAGTGAGTACAAATAGGAAACCCTAATTGGGTTGTACCCCCTATGGGATACCCCACTATAGCCTACAGAAACAAGTAAGCTATAAGTTCTGACAGATATGAGCAACGAACCGAACTTAGGTTCGGTTCGAGAAGTTCGGTTCGAGTTATCTCGAACAGAGCTTTTTTTTTTTTTTGGCAAAAAAGTTTCGAGCAAACCTACGAGAAGTTAGCACGAACTGTTCGCGCGAACTTTTTCAGTTCGTGATTTGAACTTCGAACCGCGGGGGGTTCGAATTAGATCTCCCGCCAAACCGAATCCCCCTCGACTTTCCCGTTAAAATCGGGAAAGTCGAAAGGTTGGCTGCCATTTTGAGGCAGCCAACTCTAGGGTCGAAATTATAGTAGCTCACATCTAGATCTAGATCAAGTATTTTTCAGATTGTCGGGATTTTTTAATAACCCTCTTAGTTGCTTTTTTTTTTTTTTTTTTTAATTGATGCTCTCGTCTAAACCGTTAGATATGCATGTGTTTTAGGATCCCTTGTGCATCACTTTTAACCTCAAACCTAAGTAGGCTCGAGTTCGCACAAACCTCTCAAGGTTTGCGCAAACCTTTATGGTTCGCCATTATATACTCAAACCTCAAACCTTAAAAGTCCAAAAAAAGTTTGAGCAAACCTGTTCGGTTCGGTTCGACCAACATGCAAGGCTCGAAAATGTTTGAGCAAACATGTTTGAGTTCGGTTCGTGCCCATATCATGAAGTATATGGCCACGCCGTTGGCAGCCAAGCCAGTCTGAATACCCCGAAACTCTCCTGCGTGGACTTCCTCCTCTCAGCTGAGATTTGACAAAATTGACAATTCTTGTCGAAGAGGGTGTCTGATTTGAAACCAGTTCGGTCTATAAGAGCCAATCATGAGCTCGTTCGCTTCGAACCGAACTGCGAATCAATATGCTTGTCTCCTAGCATCTTGTCATCCCCCGATTAAGTCCACCCTGTGTTAGCCATGAGCAACGAGCGAACCGAACACGTTTGACGCGAACAGTTTCCGAATACCCAAACCGAACACGTATGACTCGAACAGATTATCTAAATGTTAGTGTTAATTGTTCGCGTATAGGGTCGAACAGTTTTGAGGCAAGGCCGAACACTAAGGTGTTTGCCACGAACTCGAACAGGTTGCATTGTGATGTACTTTCTAAAATAAGCTCATTCATGGCATGTAAGAGATTAAGGGCGCCTGTACTAAAAGCAAAATCACAATGTAAATAAAGATATTTTCTCAATGCCGCTCACTCAAGGTCTAGTCAGCTATGGATAAATAAGTCAATAGCTCAATGTCAAGGGTAAGGTCAAGTCAAGTATGTGCAAAGCTAAGCCAGAGTGCCCACCAAGTCCTCATGCAACACCCCCAACCCCCCCTCCTCCCACCACAGCAACAGCCTCCTCCTTATCCCCCTCGTCTAGCCCCTATCCCTCCAATGCCAACTCTGGTGGTGCCTGCTCCCCACTGCGGCTGGTCGCCTCAACGATAAGCTCTCTAGGGTGTGACGAGTACAACGACCTGAGAGTCATGCTCGCGCTTACACTCTCAGTGTTCAGCTTGAGCCTGTGCAAGGAGATGAGGTTCCTCCCCATGGAAAAAGCGCGCTCGCTAGCTGCAGAAGTGGCTGGAATAGCGAGGTAATCTCATGCCATCTGCCTTAGCGTATCCATGTTCTTCGCACGCTGCCAGTACTGCAGCGCGGACACGTCCGAGACAGGCAACTCCACCAAGTTCCGATCCGCTTCATTCCCCACTGACGTCCCTCTTCCCCCCGCTCGCGCCGCTGCACTAGCTGAAACACCTCCCGCAGCTTTGTCCTAGAGAACACGAACGCGTCGTCGTCCTCCTCGAACACGTCGTCGTCCTCCTGCAGCTGCGCTCCACTGGTGCTGGTGGTGGGTTGGGAGCATCACGTGCTGCTCGGGCCTGGTACACCTCCACTTGGCGGCGCACCAAGATCACCACCCTGTCCACACTCACACGTGGCTTAAGCCGCCCGCCCTCACATGCCACTATGCCCGGATTCTTCAGCTCCCATTACGTCATCCTGAAATACTCTGCCTTCATGGACGGATCCAAGAAAGTTCGCGATCCAGTACTCGTCGCTGATGGCAAACTCGTACTTCTTCGGGTGCTACAGCGCGGCAGTCATGACTGGACGAACCAGCTCATGCGTGCCTGTATGCAGCCTCTTCTCCAGGCTGTCGAGGAGGGCGTTGTAGTACAGCAGCACCATTGACACAGTGGGGTATGTCGAACTGTCGGCGACCTTGGAGACTCTGGCGAAAGGACGGAGAAACCCCTCCAAAGCCCCCAAGACTTCCCACTCGGCATCGGTCACACGCAGAGCTCGCCACTTCGCCTTCTCCTCCTGCGTGGTGCCTTGTTGATTAGGTGTGTGAGGAGGGGGCGGGTGGCATGACATTGAGTACGACAAATGCTAGGCGTGGGAAACGGTGGTAGACCCAACCTTGTGGACTCTGGCAATCTTCAAAGCAACAATCCTAATGCGACGAATGAACAAAGACTGCTATGAACACGAATGAAGCCGTACCTGCTCGTGGGCAAGGGGCATGTCAATGAAGGGCCTCAGTAGCAGGAAGAGCTGAACCATCTCTTGTGTGGACCCCCAGCGCACAGGACTGTTCTGCACGAGCTTGTGCAGCCCTCCCTTCAGCGGACCATGCCGTACCTACAGCGCAATGAAGACGGCTCCTCGCTTGGGCAACATGCCCACCCACGACGCAATGGCCCGCACCTTCTTCATGGGCCCCTGCACCGACTCGACACCCAGCCCAGACTGCACTGCCAGGTTCACGATGTGCGACAGGCACCTGCAGTGGATTGGATGGGTTCATGGCTCCAACAGGTGAACGTGGATACAAGGGTGTTGAGGTGTGAACGGAAGCGAGAGGCACCAAGTTTAGCATATGCCGAGGGGAATGTGAGGGAGTGCAAGTGAATCTGCCAACGAACATGAAGTGCGCCATCTCGCTGAAGTACTGCGATAAGTCACCCTCCTCCGCCAGGTGTCGAAGAGCGACAATGTTTGCAGACGCATTGTCGGTCGTGAGACTGAGGCAACACGTCTGCAACTTGCGGAGATAACTACTCTAACGGGAGCTAGACAATGGGGTAGGCATGGGTGCTCGTGTGATCTCCGCGTTTTTAGTTCCTTAGTCATTTTCCTAGTGCACACACTGCTTGCTAGTTCAGGGGGAAATTTGGCAAGAGTTTCACTAAGAAAGGTTGACAACAATAGTTCAATGAAGTTGGCAAGACAAGGCTACATCAGAGCAAGCATGCAAGCAGATCGACTGCCAGCGCGGCACGGCCGACCGCGTTCCAGCACGACTTGGTCGACCGCGCTCCAGTAGTGCAAATTCGGCGGCGTGCCAACGCTGCAGGTTGATGGCGTGCCAGCGTTGCTCCCGCAGAACAGCAGCGCACCTACTTCGCAGGTGCTCGCAGATGATTGGCGTGCCGAGCCTCGTCACCTGCACAACGCACACACCAAATCAACCTGGCGCTGACGACTGCATCCGACCAGCCACGTCGACCTCAAGATACCATCACCGAGGTCGGTCTCGCCAACATTGCTTGGGCGACCGTCGCACTCTTTCGCAGAACCTCGTCACCCAGGTAACCTGGTCAACCGGGCAACCACGTCAACCAGCTGCTCTTGTATGTGCCGACCAGCTCCACGTCCACGAGCACAGACGTCAGCCGACCACTCAAGTCGGCTACCCGAAGTCGGCGTCACCAAGCTGACGCCCTGCTACTCAACGTCCTGAGTCGTGGTCGGCGTCGGCCCCTCCTCCGTCGACCACCAAGTCAGGTTGACCACCAGGTCGACATCACGCCTGGTCGACCAACCACCAAGTCGGCTGCCCCAAGTTGGCGTCACCAAGTCGACGCCCTCCGCTGGTCGACTTCCCAGGTCGACCTCCTTGGAGTCGGCGCCACCCTGAAGTCGGCGCCCGTGCAGTGGCCTTCGTGCAGGTCGAGCTCCTCGTCAACCAGCTCGCCCACTGCTGCAGGTTGGCTGCAGGTTGACGGGGCCACACCCAACTTCCGTTGACACAACTTCCACTACTCCACCAACTTCTCCACCGCCTTGGCGATATCCTTCCCCCCATGCCCGTCAGGCATCTCGACGAAGGCGAGAATCACCAGGCGCAACTCCCACTCCTCCAACACGCAGTGACCTATCAGCACCATGTACACCTTGCCATTCGGGCCTGTCCACATGTCGGTGTTGTACGACACTGCACAGGTTGTAGAGGTCAGCTCCGCAATCGCTGCCTCGAGCGCCAAGTTAGCAAGGACAACGATGTCGCGCGCCATCGTCCAGCGTGATGGGATCACGCCCTTTTCAGCACACTTCTCGTTCAGCAAGATCAGCAGCTCCTTGAACTAGGGTTGCATACAGGCACGAACAGGGTTGTAGAAGGTGTAAATGGATTCGGTTGTAGGGGCGTGTGTTGTATAGCATTGCAACCACTGCTCAACAGCAAGCATGATGGGATGCATCTTACGCGTTGATGCCTTGGCAAGACTCCAATTAAGTAGCACGAGCGACCAGCACACTCAACACACCCACACACAGCGTACAAGAGAGGAGGTGAATGGGCAAGTCTCCGGTCACCACTAGCTTCGTGATCGCCTCACGAAGCTTCATCTTACTGAGCCTAGCCGTAACACAGCACTCAATGCCGCCTGCCTCGCCCTTCGCGCTCGGGGTTGCCACCGTCGGCACATTGGGCCACGAGGCCACGTGTGGCCAATTCACCACCTTCTTGTCGGGAACTCCTTCGTAGCCCCCCTCCGGAAAGGTCTCCCCTGGAGTAAGAAGGTGTGGCCTTAGGGACCTATACTCCCAAATGTCGTGGTGCGCCGTGTGCTTCACTTGAAAGTGGTGAACCCTTGGAGTCGTAGTGCCCGTCGACCAACAGATACGAACATCGCACATCTTGCACTTGCGCTTATCATCCGCCCCCAATGGCCCAAACATCTGGACCTGCCAACCCGGGGCCTTACCGCTCTTCACGGACTTTGTAGGGAGATCATTCTCATCTACCAACGCAGCCACACCATCCTCTCCCCCCTCCCCCTGGCCTTGTTTGCCTTTACCCTTGCCCTTCTTCCCTTCCCCTTGCCCTTCCCCTTGGCCTTCCCCTTGCCTTTGGTCTTCCCCTTGCCCTTCCCCTTGCCCTTCCCCTTGGCCTTCCCCTTGCCCTTCCCCTTGCCCTTCCCCTTGGCCTTCCCCTTGCCCTTCCCCTAGCCCTTCCCCTTCGCCTTCCCCTTGACCTTTCTCAGGTGCTGGGACTCCTCCTCCTCCGCAGCCTCCTCACCTCTACCCTCTCCCTCCCCCCCCCCCTCCTCCTCCTCCTCCTCCTCCTCCTCCTCCTCCTCCTCCTCCTCCTCCTCTTCCTCCTCCTCCTCCTCCTCCTCCTCCTCGTCGTCGTTGTCCTCATCCCCCACCCTTGCACCCTCCCCATCTTTCTTTGGGTCATAATCCTTGTTGTCACTGTCAGATGGACTACCTTGGATGCGGGGGCACTTCTTTTCGAGCCGCCACTCTCCAGCCAGTCCCTTTGGCTCCCCCCCCCCCCCACCCCCCACCCGTAACCATCTCCCCCTCTCCCCCCCCCCCCCCCCCCCCCCCCCCCCCCCCCCCCCCCCCCCCCCCCCCCCCCCCCCCCCCCCCCCCCCCCCCCCCCCCCCTCCTCCTCCGCATCCTCCTCCTGAAGCTTTTTGGTGATGTGGGGACTGCTAGGTGTTTCCCCCCTATGTGTTTGGCAGGTGCGAGAGGGCTTGTGGTCCCAGTTGCAGTAACTAATGCAGATGTGCGAGGAATGGCATTGTCTTTGCTGCTACCCAACCCTTAATCAGGAATTTCAGAATCCATAATAGACTAGCAAAAAAACGACGGAAAACAAGGTGTTCTTCACGTTCACTAAAGCCCTACATCAGTTAAAGTAAGGCTTGGCGCGGATCTGATGGGAATCTATTTCACCTTGCTGAAGTTTATGACAAAACGAAATGCTATTTATTTCTGTTTTTAACAGTTTCCTACCTAATCTACCTTTATACTTCACGTTCCTAGTCCCAATCTGGATTTTAAACCGTGGGAATGGTGCAGTTTAAGAGGGTAGTGGGCGGAATGCTATCCTTAGTGAAAATCGACAATTGAGCTCAAGAATGAGCTCAATTGTCGACATCCGCTTTTAGATCCAACCAGCGCGTAAAATTCTGATGCGCTAGATTTCGCGCGAACACCTAGGTGTTTGTGCATTTTTCTGCACATGAACACTCGAACAGTCGAACATGTTCGTGACGAACACCTTGGTGTTTGAATCGAACGTGTTCGAATCGAACCGAACAGGGGTTTGCTCATGTCTAATAGGGTTGAGCAAAAAAACGAACACCTGTTCGGTTTGCCTCGAACGTGTTCGAGGCGAACCGAACAGGTTTTTTTTTTTGGCTTAAAATGTTCGCCGAACAGTGTTCGATGTTCGCCCGAACACGTTCGTGTTCGGGCCTAGGGATGAGCAAAGGGCGAACTCGAACACGTTCGGGTTCGAGTTCGCTCGAACATCACCATTTCCCGAACCGAACAAGGTTCGGTTCGGCGAACAATTTGGCAAGCAGGAGGTGTTCGCCGTTCGCCCATGGGGGCGAACATTTGGTATATGTGGGCGAACTCGAACATGTTCGGTTCGAACATGTTCGAGTTCGCCCGTGGGCAATTTCGTTATAGTCACATTGGTCAAACAGGGAATCTGGAGGGTTGGGAAGATAGATAGGGGGTTGGAGGGTGTATATGTGTTCATGCAACGCACACTAGCATACGACACCATCATGTTTTGCCTATATAAAAGTCACTGTCAAATTAAATCCTACGCCTGCACACCACTGCTACTACCAACAACAGCATGCTCCGCGTCAGAGGCGTCGCCAGCACCCACCCCCTCCTGCTCCTCCTCCCCCTCCTCCTCCTCCCACTCGTCGTCCTCCTCCCCCTCGCCTTCAATGGCGAACTTTGGTGGTGCCTCGCCTTTTGCACGGCGGCCCTCGCCTATCCTCTGTCCCGGGTGTGAGTTGTACCATGATCTGAGAATCATGGAAGCTCGCGTCCTCTGAGAGGCTAGGCGGTGCCGCTTCCAGGAAATGAGGTTGCGGCCGAGGGAGAACACGCGCTCGCTCGACGCGGACGTGGCAGGGATGGCAAGATAATCCCGGGCCATGCGCCTCAGCGTCTGCATGTTGGTGGCGCTGCGCCAATACTCCAACGCTGACACGTCGCACCGCACCCTCTCAGATAAGTACCTGCCAACCTCGTCATCCTGCACCATCCCACCCCTCCCCGCCTCCTGGCTCGCCGACAGACGCGCCGCAAGGCGTCGGCGGCTAGGGAGAAACTCGGCGTCTTCGTCGTCATCCGCCGCGTCTCCCTCCTCCTCCGTCACTTGGGCAAGTGGTGTCAGTAGATCTGCACTGTGGATGCCCGATTGATCCTGGAGAGGGTTACAGGCGCGTTCGCCTGGGGGGTTATGGGCGCACTGATCCGCTACTGAAACAAGCCCTTTTATCCCAATGGTCTAGTGGTTGGGATTCTGACATGGTATCAGAGCGGTCTCGGGTTCGATTCCCGGTGTATGCACATGTAGGCCGTTGCCGCTGTGCTTAGTCCTGGGCCTCCCAGTGTGGGGGGGTGTCAGTAGATCTGCACTGTGGATGCCCGATTGATCCTGGAGAGGGTTACAGGCGCGTTCGCCTGGGGGGTTATGGGCGCACTGATCCGCTACTAAAACAAGCTCTTTTATCCCAATGGTCTAGTGGTTGGGATTGTGACAAGTGGGGTCGGCCGAGGGGCAATCGCTGCAGCCCGGACCTGGTACTCGGCCACGCGTTCGCGAACCAGCTGGATCACCTCGCCTGACGAGGGGCGAGGCCTCGCCCTCCGGTCGGTATCGGGATGCAGCGTCTCCCAGTGCGCGTCGTCAAACCACGCCGCCTTCATGGAAGGGTCCAGAAAGGTCGCGATCCACAGCTCGTTGCTTGACATCAGTTCATACTTCTTCAAGAGACCCAGCGCCGCCTCAATCATCGGCTTCAGCGTAGCCGATGGCCCCTTCGCAAGGCGCGACTCCATAGCGTCGATCAGTCCGTTGTAGTACGGCAGGACCATCGCCACTGTAGGGTACGCCGCTCCCTCCGCGGCCTTCGAGACTTTGGCGAATGGGCTGAGGAAGGTCCTGACAGAATGCAGAGTCTCCCAGTCTGCGTCCGTCAGGCGCAAGGTGTCCAGCTTCGCCTTGTCAGTCTTCGACACGCGCTGTCGGGTAGAACGTATGGGTGGGCGGGTGTTTAGGCAAGTCAAGCATGGCCAACAGTGGTGCAAGTCCCAAAACAAAACACCCCGACATACCCACAAATTAAACCGCATACACAACACCTGGCACACACACACACACCTGTGTCTGGGCAAAGAAGACAGTGATGGGTTCTTGCAGAACCCCAGCTCGCTCGACCATGTCTTGGGTCGACCCCCACCGCGTGGGACTGTCCTGCACCAACTTCAACGCCGGCTTCAATTTGGCGGGGTTGGCCTGCGCGTTCAGGATCCGCTGAAGGCCCAAGAACTTCCCTGAGCGCTGTGGCAAGTAGCCTATCCACGACGCCATCTCTCTCAGAATCTTCAGCAACTTGCTTATGGCGGTCTCAGCGAGAGCTGCCTTCACTGCAAGGTTGATCACGTGTGCCAGGCATCTGCGCACATCACAAAACATTCATGGCGGAGAGAAAGGGAAGTGTGAGTACACATTGGCATAGACCCGAGAAACACTACCACTCTCAAGCCGCATAGGCCCACCCGCCCGTACTACAGCCACAAAATGTTCACAGGAACGACGCGCCCAAACTTCCTCATTGCACATCCCACGCACACTCCCTTCCATACCGGAAGTGCATGCGCGAGTTGAAGAAGCACTGGCCACCACCCTCCTCCGACATCCACCTGAAAGCGGCAGTGTTGCTAGAGGCGTTGTCTGAGGTGAACCCAAGACAACGCGTCTCCAACCCCCATTGCACCACTGTCTCCTCAACCACCCTCGCCATCTGCTTGCCCGTGTGACGCCCGTGAATCTCGCGGAATTCAAACACCATTGTGCGCAGCTAGAAATTCTCGTCGATCAAGTGACCCGTTACCACTAGCCACGCCCTGTTGTTGGGCGCCGTCCACATGTCGATGGTGAACGACACCCCGCACCCCACCTCCCCCTCCTTCACCAGCATCTCCGCAACGGCTGACTGAAGAGCGGCAGCCGCATAGACCACTGTGTCGCGGGAAACCGTCCAGCGCGAGGGGATGAAGTTCTTCTGCGCGCAGTTGCGGTTTAGCAGGATGAGTAGCTCACGAAACTGGAGAGGGGTATAGACAAGGGGGGAGAGGGGAGTAAACGTCAGGGGGATGGGATGAAAATAATATAGCACTGGGCCACACGCAAACAGTCAAAACACAAAGGGACAGACCCGTCCACTAGCCACATACTTGCCCAAACAAAATCATGGGATGGGATGGGGCACTTACAGCCTCGGCCTCGACGATGCGGAAGGGGAGGTCGCAGGTGACCACCAGCTTCGTGATCGCCTGCCGTAGCTGCACCGAGGTCAGTTTGGTTGTCATCCACCTCTCGATCCCGCCTGACCCATCACCTCCACCAGTCGCCTTCCCTTTCCCCTTGGCGAGCTGCGGCCAAGTCTTGGCATGTGGCCACTGATAGACGTAGCCATCCGGCACTCCCTTGTAGCCCCCACGGGGAAACGTCTCCCCTAGCAAGTGAACGGACGGGGTGTGGTAACGGTGATGCCACACATGCATGTGCGCAGTGTGGAAGCTCGCAAAGTGCCGCTCGCCGGGGGTTGTTGTGGATTGCTTCCACGAAATCCTGTCTGTGCAAATCTTGCACTGACGCTTCCCGTCTGCCCCTAACGGTCCGAACATCATTACTTGCCACCCCGGCTTCCTATTACCCTTGCCAGTCCTCTTACTACTCTCGGACCCTCCGTCCTCGTCTAGGAACTCGGGGGCAATCACACCCTCACCCAAGGGCTCCCCAGTGAACGTGCAGGGATACGCCCGCTCCCTCAACTTTTTGGCCTTCTTCCTCAGCCTCGACTCCCTAATGGTCACGGCCTTTCTCCCCCCCACCTTAACCCCCACGCTCCCTCCCCCTTCACGTACATGCTGTGATCCCGCCTCTGACGCCGCCCTTCCACCACCCTCTCCCACCTCCTCCTCCCGCCCCTCTGGCTCCAACCCATCCATCTCGTGGTCTTCATCATCTCCCCCCTCCCCACCGCCATGCGTCTCTGGGTCCCACGCCGCCTCGCTGTCATCCCCGCTCCCCTCACTGTCCTCCTCCTTCTCGCCCTCACCATCCTCCTCCTCATCCTCCTCTTCATTACCGCTCGCCGGCGGCGTCTGCCCCGAAGGAGGGGGTCGAGGGCCGTCGTAACGGAAAGAGCGACGGGAGGTCGGCGCCGGTACGGTAAGCAACCCCCCAACGAAGATCGCGCCGGCTCCTCCCGGTCCATCCCCTACTCGCCCCTGCATAGGTCGTGGTGGAGAGCCCGGTGCGCTGCCTTGAGCCCTGCCTGCACCTCTGCCTATGGATCCACCAGCCCTGGAAGCCATAACTCCGCCCTCGACCCTAAACCCTAAAACACCCTTCGTGCAACGGTAGCGTTGGATGGTGCCGCACGTTCCTAAACGTTATCCCGCACGGTTAGGTCTCTGAAATGCCCGATCCGAATCCTACGGCGTAGGATAC